CCGAACGGGAAAGTAACTAACCGACCGAAACCCATGCAATTCTCGATAATCCGTGATAACCTTGGAAATTTTAGACGACGAGTTCTCGGGATCACCTCTGGTATCGAAACCATCGGTGGGATTCAATGGGAGCTGTTTGGTTGTCTGATTCTCGGCTGGCTGCTCGTTTACTTTATCATCCGGCGTGGTCTCCATCAGAGCGGTAAGATCATCTGGTTTTCAGCGTTGTTCCCGTACGTGGTGCTTTTCATTCTTTTGGGAAGAGCGGTGACGTTGGACGGCGCCGGCGACGGGTTACTTTACTACGTCACGCCGAGGTGGAAGGAGTTGCTCGCACCGGGGCCGTGGATCGACGGTGCCACGCAAATATTCTTCGCGTACAGTATCGGCACCGGGGCTCTGCCGGCTTTGGGATCCTACAACAAGTTCCACCATAACTGCTATAAGTAAGCCGCCAATTTTAGTAATAGCCATGCTGTCCGTCGACTCTTTACGGGATTTTTTGCCGGGCAACGAAATGTCTCGTCTTACATTCATTTTTGGTTGATATTGATATCAGTAGGTTAGGTATGGGTGGCTCGAAGGGTGGGAAGGCACAGTGATTCTATGACACCATTTGCTTGGGAATCTTTGGACTGAGAATTTTCTGCTTCTGTCGAGACATTTCTCAAATAGATTATATTATAATATTATTTTCAATATTATCAGTAAAAAGATCACAAAACATCAGTGTTGTATGTATTAATTATTCTTCCATAGCAAAGATACAAAGCAAGGATTATTAATTTGTACGTCTTTAGTTTTATTCTGTGATTCCACAATTTCCGTAAATTATTCTGTAATTACTTATCTGTAATTATTCAGTATCTAATAGTTTCTCGATATGGCAGAAATTTTATTGTTATTAGAGAAAACAGCATGTTTCATGATTTATACATTTCGTTGCGTATACCATTTACAAGACTTTAAAATGATGAATAATTTCGCTGTTTCGTTTCTATAGATTTTAATCATTCTCGCCACAAGTTAATGCGATCGTACTCTTTGAAATCTTTGAAAATGTGAGTTTCGTTTTCCAGAGATGCACTGATTACTTGCGTTGTGAACACTTTGACCTGTCTGCTGGCTGGTTGCGTGACGTTCTCCATCTTGGGTCACATCGCTTCGGAGCAAGGGACGGAAGTGTCCGAAGTAGTTAAGAGCGGGCCAGGACTCGTGTTTCTTACGTATCCGGAGGTCGTTCTGAAGCTTCCCGGTGCTACGATGTGGGCCATTATTTTCTTCGTGATGCTATTCGTAAGTGTTAGATACTCGTGGCAGTTCGATACCAACTAATAAATAACTGCTGTTCTTCTTTACTGCAAAAGAATAAGCGATACAAAAATCTCTGAAGGTTTTCGTGGCAGTCGAGTCGTTTAAAAGCCAACGCAGTTGACTCCAGAAAAGAAAAACTGAGAAAAGTAGTGTTTTGGATAATGATGATTAGATGATGACATTCTTGAATAACCAAAAGGAATATTATCTATTCCGTTAAAACTTCGACAAGTCAGGAAACATTAAAACAGCGACTTCACCAAGAAAAATTGAGAAAATTGATATCTCTTTTGAAATTATTATATAACATATTCAGTATTATTTCGCGTGTGTCACATTTACAAACAAAAGTGGTAATCGTTTCAATAAATGATTGTACTCCCGTTTACTACAGATACTGGGAATTGACAGTGAATTCTGCATCGTGGAATCGTTTATCACCGGTGTCGTTGATAACTGGCCTGACGTCCTTCGGCCCCATAGGAATAAGTTCACCATTGCTATTTGCGTTATGATGTTCGCTTTGGGAATTCCAATGGTCACTAACGTGAGTATTCAGATTTTTATTAACAATGTTTACATTCAATTTTCATCTCTTCGACCTAGTAGCTTACCGAATAAAAATATTTATTATCATATAGTATAACTAAAATAAAAGAATGTGAACAATTTTTATTTAAGTCTTCACTTATCTAATCTATTTCTAATATTTTCAAAAAATAGGCACACGCCATTTAATTAATTCAGCAGCAATTAATTTATAGCTGATCAATCACTAATTAATCAGCAATTAATTTGTAACTGATCTTTTCCTATGGTTTTCGCATTACACGAGTTTTTTATTTCGTTCATCTTGTTTCAGGGAGGAGTCTACATATTTCAACTAATGGACTTCTACTCGGCGAGCGGCATGTCGAT